TGATACTCTAGTATTATCAAATTTTCTCAGACTCAGTTTGAGTTATGAAAAATCTGAACACGCCATTCGATAGACCGCGTCAAGTTGTACTCGGAACACGAATGGAACGCTTGGAACATGCTCCTGACCGAATCTTGGCGAGTTTTACTGCATAAAATCCAGGATTTTTGTGGTGATACACTAGTATTATCAAATTTTCTCAGACTCAGTTTGAGTTATGGAAAATATGAAAACGCCATTGGATAGACCGCGTCAAGTTGTACTCGGAACACGAGTGGAACACTTGGAACATGCTCCTGAGCGAATCTTGGCGGGTTTTAGTAGATGGATGCAAAATGACCTATGGTGAAAATCTAATATTTTCTGATTTTCTTGGATTTGGTTTGAGCTATCGGGAATCGGAATATACCATTCGATAGAGCTCATCGAGTTGTACTCGGAACACCAGTGGAACGTGTGCAACATGTTCCTGGGCGAATCTTGGCGGGTTTTACTGCATAAAATCCAGGATTTTTCTGGTGATACACTAGTATTTTTTAATTTTCTCAGACTCAGTTTGAGTTATCGAAAACCTGAACGCGCCATTCGATAGAGCGCGTCAAGTTGTAGTTGGAAGACGAATGGAACACTTGGAACATGCTCCTGAGCGAATCTTGGCGGGTTTTACTGCATAAAATCCACGATTTTTGTGCTGATACTCTAGTATTATCAAATTTTCTCAGACTCAGTTTGAGTTATGGAAAATCTGAACACGCCATTCGATAGAGCGCGACAAGTTGTACTCGGAACACAAATGGAACACTTGGAACATGCTCCTGAGCGAATCTTGGCGGGTTTTAGTAGATGGATGCAAAATCACCTATGGTGAAAATCTAGTATTTTCTGATTTTCGTGGACGGTGTTTTAGCTATCGGGAATTGGAATACACCATTCGATAGAGCTCATCGAGTTGTACTTGGAACACACCTTGGGACAGTTGGAACATGTTCTTGGGCGAATCTTGGCGGGATTTACTCGAATCTGGTGCTAACTTCACCTACGTGGAATGTACTCGATATAAACAGAGAAAAATTACACAAGGAAAAAGTTATTCACAAAAACAAATGTCGTTTATTGATTCGTTTTGTTTGGTTTTTCCGATTATTCGTTGACGATTTTTTTCTACAATAAAGACAGTGAGCATATGTTAGTGCTAAAAAAGGCACTTACCCTTGTTTTTTGACTAAGCCATTACGCTTTTCTTCATTTAATTCTGCGTCCAATTGTTCGATCAATTTATTTCGCTCTTTCAGTACCTGTTCAGTCCATTCTTGTTGAAACTTGTCAAATATTTTTTGCCACTCTTGCTTCATTTGTTTATCCCACTCTTGTATTTTTGCCTTCTGTTCGTTTTGTAGCGTAATCAACCATTGTGAGTCATCTTCTGCATCACTCTGAAGATAGATACACACGAAAAAATTTCTACAATCAAAATGCACATTCATTGAACTTACATTGAGTGAATTATCAGAAATAGAAAGTCGCATAGTTGGTGGATTTGTGGTGCATGTTACAGGTAAATTGTCAGTAGGTGATACACTAAGCCCAAAAATATCGATCGATAGCTGTTTGTCATGTGTTGAAGCTGTTGTGACACCTTTAGGTACAATCGATTCATTGTTGAATGGGGAATGTCTGTCGTGCATTGTAGATGCTACATGACCTTGAGATGAATTTAATTGATTATTGAGTGTCAGTCTGGAAAAATTAATAAAAGATTTTTTCTTTATATATGAACAAAAGTCACTTACAATTCAAATTTATCAACAGGATTAGAGCCTAAATAGAAAAACAAATCCGTTATAGTTTCAATGCATATATTCAAATAATAAGGCACGGGAAGAAAGTTCTCAGGAATTTTTCTATTTATATCGATAGGAAAATGTCTGAGAACTTTTTTTCGTATATTATTTGTTATGCTATAGGTATCATCTTCCTTCGAGTTTCTTACGTTTAGATGCTGAAGAAGAAATGATTGACGAATCTTGTACGGCTTTTGCTTGTTGACGTGTTTGAACAGCATGAACATCTATGAAAATAAAATATTGATAAAAATTAAAATGTGTTCAATTAAAAGTGAAAATTTTTGTTAAATAAGTAATCTATATAGAAATAAAGACATATATTTGAATTTCAACAGCGACTTCGTTAATACAATTTTTTGTGGATTTGAGATATTTTTTATAGTATATGTATAATTATTTGCTTACACC